ATCCAAGATTAGTGATCACAGGTCACCATGACAGATATAATAATAATGAAAGTTTTAAATATTGTGAGAATGACCAAAATGTGACACACGGATACAAGTGAGCACATTCTGTTGGAAACATGATGGCAATAGATTTGATCAACTCAGAGCTCCCACAAACCTTCAATTTCTAAAAAACACAGTACCTGTGATGTACAGTAAAGCAAAGCTGAATAAAACTAGGTCTGCTGTAGTCTATTTACAAAAAACAAGCTGAAACTTCAAAGTGATTCTCTTTTAGAAGTTTTCGAGAAACTCTTTCATTGTTTATTATTGCACACTCGTGCATTATCTTGAAATTCCACGAATCTCAGGGAATTTGGGTGCGCTGAGGACACTAACAACACTTAAGCTGTATTTTAGCCATTGCCTTTGTCTGGAGAACGTATCGAAAGCCTAAATATTTAAAACACATTATAGTATTCAGGTAATTACAACATGGTAGGATGTCTAAATGTGTATAGTATGAACCATCCAAGTTTAAAAACATCATGATGGAGTTAGTAGCAAATAAAATCTCTAAGCTTTTTTTTTTTGCTATAATCCTTGTGATGCTTTGCATATCTTGAAAACTCTTGCAAAGTGTTACCCAAATATCATGATGATTTGGACCTACATCAAAATGTTCATGTTTAAAACAATGATTAACCATGGTAGGCCTATTTTTTTGGCTAGAGATACACAGATATTGCCATTTCCAGACTGTGTATAGATGATGGCAAAACTTGTTACTAACCAAATCATGAGAATTTTTATCATTTAAAATTTTTAAAATCACCACAAAATCTGAAAAAATATACTGAATAAAACCAGATGTAGAAAGGGTTTTTAAAATCCCAAAACAGTAATATAAATGGTTTCATTGTTTAAATTATAGTTAAACTTTAGACATTAAAATAACATCAAGATTGAAGTATAACATAAACTCCCCAGGAGGAAAAAAAATTAAAGCAAGGACTTTATACCTTTAATTAGAACTTGCTCTTTTTTATTCATTGTAATAAAATTATATTCTATCAGGATTTCCTAAAGCGCTTTACTTACTTGCCTTCATTGACTAAATTAAGACAGAATACTATTATTTTATTGAATGGCCTTATTATAGTGTGAGCATTTTTTAAAATGTAAAAGTAGTGATTTTTTTTTTTTTGGATTCTACTTTCTGCATTTATCATAATCTTATTAAGAGATCTTCAGTGATTATCAACATTTAGCTATCATGACCTGGGAACTTGATGATCATCTCTGTTCATTTTCTTGATCTATTGATTAAAAAATCTCCTAAACTATTGTTTGCTTCATTATATAAGCTTCTTCACACTGTCTCAACATTTTTGTTAAATTATGTGCAGAATGAATTAAATAGGCCAACATTACCTATATTTATTGTAGATTAAGATTTGTTTCTTTGCTCATTACTCTGCTTTATGACATACTGCCAATCTCTATCCAAATCTGTATTTTGTTAGGAACATGCTCTTTAACATTTGTTACGAAAATACATATTTCTCTAATAAATATTTATACCTACTATGAATATTTAGGTTTAAACATGAGTAGTATTGATCAACAGTATTGTCTAGTGCTGCTATAAATTTTATTACAATATCCTAAAGCTTTGTTTTTCTTTCTACTTGTTAATGAGTTCTTTAATTTTCTTTTTATAACATGTGTATGCATGCGCATTTGCGTGTGCATGTTAGAAAAACAGAGACAGAGCTCACATGCTAAAGAGCATCAAGCACAAAAGCTAAAAACATGTATATGCAATCAATAACTGTTTAAACATGTACAAACTATTCACAAACGGAGGCTATAAAATGATGAGAGTTACAATTTTGAGTAAAGTGCTCCTCTGTGTTATTAATCACTATGTCCTCTTCATTTTTTCTTTCTTTTCTTTCTTTCTTTTTTTTTTTTTTTTTTTTTTCCTGAGACAGAGTTTCGCTCTTGTTACCCAGGCTGGAGTGCAATGGCGCGATCTCCGCGCACTGCAACCTCCGCCTCCTGGGTTCAGGCAATTCTCCTGCCTCAGCCTCCTGAGTAGCTGGGATTACAGGCGTGAACCACCATGCCAAGCAAATTTTTTGTATTTTTAGTAGAAACGGGGTTTCACCATGTTGACCAGGATGGTCTTAATCTCTTGACCTTGTGATCCACCCGCCTCGGCCTCCCAAAGTGCTGGGATTACAGGCGTGGCCCTCTTCACTGCGCCCGGCCCTCTTCATTTTTCTTTAGTTATATTCCCAGTACCAGTTTTCTACCACAGAACTTGTCTCAAGCTGGATTCTCACAATTACCTGAGAGTTGCCTCTCTTCTATCTAGATTATCCTTTGCACCTGCCCAAATTAATTGTTTTATAATACTGCATTTAGTCCAGTGGTCTCCTTTCTTAACACCCATTCTCCATGGCTTTCCACTGCTTACTTGCCTTCAGGATAAATCAGTATCTTTATACTACCAGGAACCTAACTCAAAGACACATTAAACTGTGTGGTTTCCTCTTCATTTGTAAGTTTATCCCCTCTTGTTCACTAATAATCTCCTTGAGCCAAATAATATGTTACCACTTATGCAACCGTCCCTCTTTCTTTTCCAACCCTATTGGTTTTTCAGTGTTCTAGCATTTATGGCTGTGAAATGAATTACCTGAGAACTTAGTGGCATAAGTAAACATTTATTATGCTCACTAATTCTGTGGGCCAGGATTTGAACAGGACATCAGGGACAGGTTGTCTCTGGTCTTCAGTGTCTAGGGCCTCAGCTGGATGACTCAGATGCCAGAGGCAAAAGTCATCTGGAGGCTACTTCAATGAGAAATTTAGGGGCTGACACTGAATATTGGCTTGGGGCCTCAGTTCCTCTTCACATGGGTTCTCCATGAGGGTCTTCTTATGTGGCCTCTTTGTGTAGGCTAGTTTGGACTTTCTTACAGGATGTTGGCTGATTTCCCTACAGTGGCTTTCTGCAAAAGAGAAAGCCATATGGAAGCTGTATCCTTTTTTTATAACCTAGCTTCAGAAGTCATATAATATGATTTCCACTACACTCTAATAGCTGGAGCAATCACAGCCTACCCAGCTTCAAGGAAAACAGTAAATAAAGTCTATCTCTTGGTAAAAAGTGGTGAGATCCTGGAAGAACGTATAGGACCAGAAATACTGGTGTGGCTCTTTTTTGTTGGAACAATGCCACAGTCAAGGACTGTAGGTTGTATCCCATGTGCTCTTTTAAATTCTCCCAGTCTATTATAGGCCATACCAACTTTATTCATTCTGAACTCTTACAATCTGTGATCTCATTTACAACCAGTATATTTCTTTGAATTGTTAACATTCCATGTCTACCTGTTTTGTCTCCCCAACTCTACTAATAATTACTTTAGCACAATCACCTCATTTTCCCACAGGAAAGTAAGGTCTGTATTTTTATTTTCCACAGGACCTAGCATAGAGCTTTGGACATAGTAGGAGCTCAATAAACATCTAGATTAAAGTCAGATAGATTTAGAATGAAATGAGAGGTATCAGTTTTATGCATTGAAAATGAATGTGGTGGACAGTGTTTGGAAAAGATGTGAATGGACGATGTAAGGGATAGTGGTTACAACAGCATAGAAATAAGTGAGAAAGGATCACCTGGTAAACACAAATAAATGTGTTTATGAATGAAACATAAAAACTTAAATGTCAATAAGGCATGATGGCAGTCAAAGGAAGGTACTTTTTGCATGTTAGGTATTTAATTTCAAATTCGTATGTATTTTAAAACTCATTTAAATAATTCAAATTATACTAATTGAAAGCACTAAATTTAACTCTGCTGGCATTTGAGAGTTGACAAGAGATCAATAGGAGTAAATATTTTAATATGCATCATTATATTTAATATTGTAATATTTTTCAAATGTGTTTAGCTATATTTTAAAAAGAATTTTTATTTGGATTGTTTTAAATTTTTTAATTTGAAAATAATGCATCCTGATGATAACAAGCCAAGGTACATAAATAAAACCCAATAGTCCTATTTCTGCCACTTCTATATTGAGGATTCTAATTGTGGTTTGGTGTGTTTTCACAGCTTTTTCCATGCTCATTTTGTATACTTTACGCTGCTTACATATTATTCCTCATATTTATTGTTCATGCCATAATTTATTATTTTTAAATATGCAAGGCTCATGGTTATGTCAAGGGTAATTTCTCTGTGTGATGATTATGGGATCTGATTAATAGTTATTGTTTTAAGAAGCTATTTTAGACTTTGTGGCAAATGGGTAAATTTGATATTTTAATTCAAAGTTGAATTTTTTAGAGATATAGAAAACAAAACGTTGACAGGGAGGTTAAACTTTTCAGGTGAGGACTCCATCTACTGTATTAATATGTTCGCATGAGAACATGTGGTGATACTATGAAAGTACTACATAAAACTTTATAACTATTACTAACTAAAACACCAGTGCTCACCAAATAACATTCTGGGATCTTAGCCTTGTTAAATTATACTAAAGAACATGTGTAATTTACATTTTACTAAACATTGTAAAATTCATACACTGAAAATGATTTGGACATAAAATTTTCATGTTCGTGGTAAATGAAGAGCATATTGCTTTTCAAACTCTGCCCAATCTCAGGAGTATTTCGACCTTGAACCATGAAATGAAAGGAAGAGAATAAAGATTGGTCAAGTGAAAATAGTAAAGTTCCAAATTCCTATCTGCAATAACTCATTTTACCAGATCCCATTCTGTAAAGTAGTTAAGTTCATCTCTAGTTATTATACATATATGACACTGAGAACTATTTTTCTTTATATTCACTGGCATAATTTTTAAATTTCAGCTATTAATTTAAAAAACTAACTACCTATGTAACTATAACCTACCTGAAACTAAAATGATTCTTGATTACATATTAGAAGTTACATATTTACATATAACTATTGTGTATTTAAGATGGCTGATCACACTGAAGTAATGAAAGGCATTCATCAATATCCAGGAGTTCGCTATCCTGTCCTTACTCCTAATCTTCAAGGTTTTCAGCGTGCTGTAAGTGTGCTACTAATATATCTAAAATTTACACGCCTCTTATTGTTTTAAAGATATTTACAAAGTTAAAATTGTGTCATATATAACTCTCCTGTAATATAAATATAGGCTAATGTACTAACATGAAGACATAGAGCTCCATGTCCTGACAGCATTGGGGATTCAAATGATATATATACCTGGCTCTTCTAGTTTAACTTTTTAAAAATTAAAACACAAAAGTAAAATTCTGCATTTTCATGAAAGTTTTTAGAAGTGTATTTTGTGCTTCTTGTTAAATAATATAGAATACTATTTAAGCATTTCTCAATGCAATTTTATAGTTATAATTATTGTTGAATTTGTTAATTATTTTTGTCAACCTTTGTTGGTCAGCTTTTTGTGTCTATTATTTTCTACCTCTAGGTGAGACTAATTGTCATTGTATCTGGCTCTAGTTACTTTCCCTATTTATCTCCTGGTTTGTTACTTTTGATCCTCTGTTATTTAGAAATTGATATAATTTAAAGAAGGCTTTAATAATTTTACATAGGAGAAGAGTCTCTTCAATTTTAAGGTATTACCCATTTGTGGGCTTATTGCAAATATTGGGCAGCAGCTCTTTCTGGTATTAATGAATATTAATATAGTACAACCTCAGCTTTACATAATACAGTTTCACTTCTGTATGTGAAACTGTATTATGTAAAGCTGAGGATGTACGATATTAATTAATGAGTATATTACCTGTTAGTGTATTTTGTTAGAACCATTTATTTTTCCCTTGGGTTGGATTTGATGAAATCTTTATTGCATCGTTTAAGAAGTCATTTGAAAAATTGTAACTTTGGTGTCATAGTAGTCGTAACAAAATAAAGAACGTAACTTACACTGGCGAAGGTGCTGAAAGGACACCCTCATGTTAACTTAGAGGGGAAAACACTGGAGTAGAACTAATCTTGACATGGGAGTCAAGCAATTCTGTGCTCAAAACATGACTCCACAACTTCTACTCCCTGTGCAATATTATGCTAAGTATTTACCATTTTTGTGCCATGGCTCTTTCATCTGTACAATGGGCATAACAACACTTAGCTTAAATAGTTGTTTGTAGATTACAAAAAGCACATCCATAGTACTAAAAACAGTACAGACAAATAGTAGATGTTCACTAACAGGGTATTTACTTTAGAAATTGAAATTTTATTTTGGATAGTGATGGAAGCCAATATTTTTTAAATGTTTAAGGAAAGATGAAAAGGTAGTTTTTAGGTTTTTCTCTCTCCATATATTAATGGGGGATTAGCAAGAGGGGAGAACAAAGGCCAAGTGCTAGAAATACGTTAACAGAAGATCTTAAAAATCCAGCAGAAAGACTAAGAGGCTTGACATTTGAAAACAAGTCACTGGAGAAGCCTGGAGGAAGGAATAAAGTTGACCAAAGGTACAAAAAGGAAATTGATTAGATTAATATTTTGGATTTAAGGACTAGCAAAAGGATCAAAGCATTAGATACACAAGAGTATGGTTGTAAACATCACGGTGCAAAACAATGGAAGCTAGGTTAGGAGATCAAAGAAAAACTGGGGGCAAAATCTAAATGATGAATTGGAAAAATATTTTTCTGATGAATTGGAAGAGAAGAAAAACAGAAAGTGTTTAGTATCCTCCATTTTAATAGTTGGTTTGAAAATAATTTTTCATGGAGGAGAAAAGTTTTATTGGGGTTCTAGTATTTTCCATAATTAGAGTTATAGTATTTCTGAAGTTAAAACATCATTTATAAAAGGCGAAATTAAATAGGACAACCTCATTGTGATTTTTGTGCCTCACAGACATGAATATTGCAGTTTGTGGATTATTCTGTTATTATAAAATATTTTTACATTTCAAAAGAGCATATGTGGCAAGATAGGAGGAATCCAATTTTAAATTCTAAGGCAAATGTTCAAGAATACATGTATGCCTTCATAGAGTAGTTCATCTTTCTTCTACCACCAGCATTGACATTTTTGAAATCATTAGCTTTGGCCGTAAATTATGTATTTTTCAGGTTGCTGCTGGAGCCACTGAGATATCAGTTTTTGGAGCTGCATCTGAATCCTTTAGCAAGAAGAACATTAACTGTTCCATTGAAGAAAGCATGAGAAAGTTTGAGGAGGTTGTTAAGTCTGCAAGACACATGAATATTCCAGCACGAGGGTACGTATGAAATCCCACAATTTTATTTTGTTAACGTTTATTGTTAAAGCTTACTCATAAATTATCTAGAAATTCTCATATCACTTATAAAAATATACATAGAATATCATATTTCTACTTTAATCAGGGCAATCACTTTATATAGTTAGATCTCATTGATGATTATTAGTGAGTATCTAGCTTATGGACTGTGTAATGCAATTGAAACTAGAGGAACTAGCATGCAAATCTGGTAGTATTAACTATTTTATTAACACGCTATCACCCAAACGAAGCCCTCTTACGTCAGCCTACATGTACTCATAAGTTGGTATAAACTCACAACAGCTTTTGGAAAGGAATAATCTAATGTGGTTTCCAAATTTTTTTTTTAAACACGACTTTTTCTTCAAAGAGTATTTTATGTAGAACTTCAATAGAATACAGCAGACATAAAATTAAGCCTCTGAGCTGCTCTGTGAAATTGGGTCCACCATTTTACCCATTCTTTCTGCCCTTCAATAGCTGACTTCTTTACTTCCTCTGGGTGATTCTAAAGCACCTACAGAGTATCTTGCAGAACACTGTTTAAAAATACTTGATAAATTGCTTATGGAAGATCAATATAAATTTTTATTTCTCTACTCTTCTATTATATATGTTTTCTGTAAATTATGGGGTATCATATATATCAATCCTTTTCTCCTCGCCTTGCCTTTTTCTTTTTTCCTTTTTTTTTTTTTTTAGACGTAGTTTCGCTCTTGTTACCCAGGCTGGAGTGCAATGGCGTGATCTCGGCTCACCGCAACCTCCGCCTCCTGGGTTCAGGCAATTCTCCTGCCTCAGCCTCCCGAGTAGCTGGGATTACAGGCACACACCACCATGCCCAGCTAATTTTTTACATTTTTAGTAGAGACGGGGTTTCACCGTGTTGACCAGGATGGTCTCCATCTCTTGACCCTAGAGATCCACCCACCTCGGCCTCCCAAAGTGCTGGGATTACAGGCTTGAGCCACGGCCCCCGGCCGGCCTTTTTCTTCTAGAAATTTATCAGCTGTTCATTCTAAGAGACGTCAATTACAGGAAATGGAAAAGAAAAACTGATCCAAGATCCACAAACCAAACATTCTCTCTCAGGAATTTAGAAATGGAATATCAAACATGGCTTCTTGTATTGAAATATGATGTGATTTTTGTCACTGAGTTGACTATTTTGGGGTTCCTAGGATGAAGCCACATGCAAATCAGTGACAAGACAGAGTGACGGAAAGCAGAAATGGAAACTGGAGGTTCCTGGCAGTGATGAGAGATATAGAGGGAGGGAAGAGAGAGGGAAAAATGTGCCTTGGGGGTTGCCTGCTTCCAGGACCAATAGTTGCCTCAAATACTATTAGCAGGCCTATCTAATGTGGAACCTATAATGTGTGTGTGTGTGTGTGTGTGTGTTACTTAAGGAAGAATTTGTTTCTAAGACATTAGCTTTCTTCGTATTAATTTTATAAATATGGAGATATGATGAACACGTATCTTAACAAGATAAAGTGCATAGCAACTGGTAACAGAAGGTTGAAAGCTGGGGATGGATTCAATTCAAATATAAGTGTTATCGCTATTTTCTTTAAAATAAAGATGAAGACCGTATTCTATTTCAATATGTGTTTAAAGTGTGGAGTGGAGTATAAGCTTTTCTCATTGGAAAATTAAAAAGCATGTGACTGTAAGAAGTGAAGTGCTCATGTGGCTTGCTCTTCAAATAGGGTTTTTGTTTTTTAGTGTTGAAAGATGGATGCAAATATAAGTTATAGGAAGTAAGTTTTTACCATCTTAGCTTTCTCTTGTAAAATGGAATAATGTAATTGAGCTAATAAAAATCTTAAACCCTCTTAATACTCATTGTTTAACAAATAATATTGCCTCAGCAGAAAAATGAAAATTTCTAATTGTGCTGTGGCTTAAAAAGTTTTTCAGGCTTTGACAAACAAGAAGTGACCCACAGTAAAACCAAATGAGTAGAGTACATTGGAGACTTAGTGTAGAATTATACTATAGACAAATGTATGTTTTCCAGTGGGATTTTGTACCTTTGGAGAGCAACTCCTGAATTTTCTGCAACACTTCCCATTTTCAGAAATGTGCCTTTTTTTTTTTGAGTTCAGTACCTGTTGTATAGTTAAAAATATCTTCTTCTTCCCCATAATTTTTACAAAGCTTAAATAAAATTTTATTTTTACTGACAATCTATATTTTAGATATTCATCACTGTAAGTCATAGCCATTAGTACCTATTTCATGAAGGGAACCATGCTCACTTAGTTGAAACTGCAGTAGATGCTTCAGCATGTCTTGCATGGCAACAGCTGCATCAACACATACTTGACAATCATCCAGAAAATTTATGTTGTCAGTTGTCTGCTTTAAAGGCAATAAAGTAGTACATGTTTTATAAAAGCTCACTAAAACTATTTAAATTTTATAAAATAGTAAACTTTCATATGGTCTAAATAGTAACTTTTATTAGAGTTGTGAAGGCTATTGTTAAATTCCCCCACATACCCACTGAAACACACATACAACACATGCATGTGTATACATTTTTAACACATGGTCAGAACTTTACATAACATCTGGGACACATTGTAAAAAGATACCATGCCAAATCAGTGACATAAAATGCAGAGTCAGCTAACTACTGGTGCATATATCTTATATGCAAATGAAAAATGCTCTTTGGATTTTATTTTTAGTGGGCAGTACATGTGACATATTTTTAAACATCTAGGTAATTTTTCTATTAACTCTCTAAATTTTAGAAGGTTAAGAAGGCAAAGAAAAATAAAAGCCTGGGATAAAAGTGATTATTTTCCCTTTTTCAATGGTATTTACTGACTTCTCAGGATCCTTTAAAATGGAAATACTTCAAGATATGAAGTAGTGCTTTAATATATAAGATATTCAGAATGTATTACTTTTGGTCTAAAGTGATTGCCAACTTCTCTTTATTGAAGTGATATTGTCACTTCAAAGACAATTGTCAGATGTGATAATGTCATACTTTTGTCATTTTTTTAAATAAAATGTGCTTAATATTTAGGAGGAGGTAAGGAGTCAGATTTTCCTAGAACTGTAATGAATCTGTGTTTAGTTTTTTTTTTTAACTAGTTCAGCTCTATATAATTCTCATCCTTTAAAATGGCAATCTTCCTAAGTGCCATGAAGTCAGGGCACAATATTCTCCCTTAAAACACTGTTTTTTTTTTTTTCCTTTGAGAGATAATTTATAACTAAATAAATTTATTCAAAAACTTGCAACCTGCTTGCTGAGCTAGGCAGACCATCTAGGTCACAATGCATTGATTCTGTGTTTCATGTTCTCCTTGGCTAATGTAGAATCTCGGTATTGACTCAGATCCTGATCCTAAAGATAATACCAGACTTATTAAGTGAGATAATGAGTCTCCTTATTTAGGGCTCCATTTTTAAGTACACTGTGACTAGTAGGCAGTGTTTCTAACGAAAAATGTATCACATCCCTTCCATTGGATGATCTGCCTCTATGGAACACTTGCATTTATAGCATCATATTCTTGTAAGTGGGCAGCAAGAAGCTGCCCACAGAGATTCCTTTCCAAATTCTACTGTTAAACTGAGGCCTAGATCTGGAAGAACAATTCCATCATCATTATGTGCCACCAAAATTTGGTACATAAAACTCTAAAATAAGACATCTGTTAAAGCTATTTTCTTTCATACATATGGTTTGTTTAAGGGTTTATACATTTTTAGCTTTATATATTATTCTGGCACTGCTGTGTGCAAGAATAACACATACCAAGCAGCAGTTAATATTTGTAAGCTGGGTTTGTGCAATTGTGTCTAAATAGCCTCCATGTAGACATTTTAAGGTAAGAATGTGTTTCATCATTTCTCATGAAATTAGCACTAATATAGTTTTGTTATTAAATATTCTTTTGATAGATTATGCCTTGCTATACCTGGGCAAGAAGTAGATTTAGTAATTTACACAAGTAATTTCAAGAAAGTTAATCATGTCCCTAGGTGTGAAATTAATTCAGCACAGATTGTGGTTGAATGGTAAATGTTCATAGTCCATACAGTCACTTACAATAATTTAAAATTATTTTCAACATGCTCTTTTTAAATTTTATATGATGTCAGTGTGAAACTAGTATGTAACAAAGTGAATTTAGTAAGTATGAAAAGAGAGTTGTACATCATATGAAATAGAAAATTGAACATTTACAAGCTTTTATCATAAGATTAACTTTACTACCAATTCTTCAAAAGCATTTACAAATTCACTTTTATTTAGAAACAATAGAATAAAACCTCGGCAATACCATTTAGGACAAAGGTATGGGCAAGGACTTCATGACTAAATCACCAAAAGCAATGGCCACAAAGTGAAAATAGACAAATAGGATCAAATTAAACTAGAGAGCTTCTGCACAGCAAAAGAAACTATCATTAGAGTGAACAGGCAACCTACAGAATGGGACAAAATGTTTGTAATCTATCCATCTGACAAAGGACTAATATCCAGAATCTACAAAAAACTTAAATTTATAAGAAAAGAAAAAAACCAACTCCATCAAAAAGTGGGCAAAAGATCTACCTCTCACTTCTCAAAAGGAGATATTTATGTAGCCAACAAACAAATGAAAAACAGCTCATCATCACTGGTCATTAGAGAAATGCAAATCAAAACCACAATAAGATGCCATCTCATACCGGTTATAATAGTGATCATTAAAAAGTCAGGAGACAACAGATGCTGGAGAGAATGTGGAGAAATAGGAATGTTTTTATATTGTTGGTGGGAGTATAAATTAGTTCAACCATTGTGGAAGACAGTATTGCGATTCCTTAAGGATCTAGAACCAGAAATACCATTTGACTCAGCAATCCCATTACTGGATATATACCCAAAGGATTATAAATCATTCTATTGTAAAGACACATGCACACCTATGTTTATTGTGGCACTGTTCACAATAGCAAAG